CTGTAGATTCAGCTCTTTTTTTTTTTTTTTTTTGGTATGACAGTCTTGCCTGTCCTGTGCCATCCTTACAATGGCTACTGTGCTTAAGCCAAATATTTCAGTCACTGTGTTGTTTCATTTCATTGAGAGTCTTCCTGCATTTCACTGAACCTCTACTTTTCCAAGCATGATGTCTTTTTCTTTTTCTTTTTTTTTAAACCTATTTTTCTATGCTGAGTTAATTTTGTTTATGGCTTCCCCCCACCCCATTGTGTACCGTGGAATTGGATCCGACTGGCACAGGAGGAGATTTTCCCTCCTTCTCCAGCAAAGCATCTGGTGAACCACACTTCTTCAAGATTGCATGATGTCTTTTTCCAAGGTGCTTCCTGTTACCATGCCGACACAATGATGAGAGATGAAGTCTCACTTCATTGTTTCTGAGAACTACTCTGGCTGTACTTCTTCCAAGATAGATACTTGTTCTTTTGACAATCCATGATACATTCAGTATTCTTTGCCAATACTACATTTTAAAGACATCAGTCAGTTCTTTGAACTTCCTCATTGTCCAGCTTTCATATGGAGATGAAGCAATTGCATACATTGGCTTATTGTTGCTGTTTTTAGGTGCAGCTCTTATTCTGGACTTTTGTCATGCCAATAATACCTAATCATATAGACCTTTATACAGTTCTCTCCCTTGTCTGTTTCAATGCAATATACATTATTTATCTCCTCTTTTTCTTAGTTTCCCCCTAATCCCCATGTCAGCCCTGTTTTATAACAGTATTATGCAGTATTTGTTTTTTGCAACTGAGATATTTCACTCAACATAATGTCCTCTATGGTCACCCATTTTGTATAATATTTCATGACTTATATGCTTTTCAGTGCTGCATAATATTCCATTGTGTGACTATACCACACCTTTCTATTTATTCATTTGTTGATGGCACTTGGATTGTTTCCAATTCTTTGCTGTTGTGAACAAAGCAGCAGTAAACATGGGTGTGCATATATCTGCTTGGATGTCAGTTATGGTCTCTTTGGGGTATATTCCCAGTAGTGGAATTGCTGGGTCAACTAGTATTTCTATTTCCAGCTTTTTGAGAAAGCGCCATACTGCCTTCCAGAGTGGTTGCATCATTTTACATTCCCACCAACAGTGGGAGGAAGAGTTCCAGTTTCTCCACAACCTCACCAGCATTTTTTGTTTGCTACTTGGTTGAATTTTACTATTATTACTGGATGTGAAATTATATCTCATAGTTGTTTTGATTTGTGTCTCTCTTAGAGCTAGGGATTTTGAACATTTCTTCATGTGTTTGTTTACCATCTCAATGTCTTCTTTGATGAAGTGTCTGTTCATATCCTGTACCAATTTTTCAATTGGGTTGTTTACTTTTATCTTATTTCTTTCTTTACTGCTTCTTTGATGAGTGTCAATTGAAGATCCAAGTAAAATAAGTCATCTAAATACTTTAAAATATTTATGACTTTAGAATAGAGGTCATCTTTAACTGAAACATCATAAATACATCTGAAAATACATAACACATAATAAATATATCTGAAAATACATCTGAAATATACGTAAATACGTCTTGGGTTTTTTTTGTTTTTTTCTTTTTCTTTTATTGTGAAAAACATATTGGGGGTATAAGGAGGTGAGGGTTGGGGACAGAAGGGTGAGGATGGGCCAGGATGCAGTTGCAGAGCTGCACAGTTTGGTCGGTGGGGGGAACAGGTGAAGGAAATGATGAGGATCCAGTGGGGACCAGATGCTACAGAGGAATGACAAGCATTTTCCAATAGTAATTAAACCAACTGTCTTATTGATTTGGGACTTGGATGCTGACTCTCTGGCTTCTTCATGCTGAACAGGGGCGTAGATGTGAAGGGGGGAATGGAGGACGTTTTATCTCCTTACTGGTGGTCTTGGGTTAAAGCTGCTTGCCTTCTTGCTCTGTTAGAAGATATTTTCCTGTCATTTGCTCCCCTCTGGACTGCAAAGTGTTTTCCCAGGTGGGTCCAGTGGGGATGGCTGGTTGAACCCAGAGGCTCCATCCTCCTTTGCTTCCTTAGCTGTCAGTTATATTTCCTTTTTGTCACTGGCATGGGTTCAGGGTCAATTCTGGAGTAAAACTCAGTGTTAAGATTACCTATAGGAAAGGGAGCAAACCTAGAGAGAACAAACTGCTTGTGAGTTACAAATAGAAGGGCTTTGAGGGTGTTGCTTTCAGGTTTACTGGGGGGAAGGGTGGCAGAAGGTGGCCTAGGTAACATTCTATGGATACCCTAGGCATTTTTTTTCCCTTCCCCACAATCTGGGGACTGAGGAGCTCACCCTGAGGACCACGATGGCTCACCCCGAGCCGAGGGCTGAGGGCAGCCCGCCCCGGGCAGAGGTCCACGACGGCTCGCCCCGAACCGGGGGCCGAGGGAAGCCCGTCATCAATACATCTTGAAAATGACTTGCACAGATTCTTAAAATGATTCTTAAACAGATTCTTAAAAGATCCTATGTACATCTAGAAAAATTGAAATAACTGGTTTTATTTGAAATATATAAATATTTTTTAAACATTTTTCTTTTATATTTAGGGGAAGGAATACTTATTTTCTAACATTATTCTATTATTATATATTCTGGACATTATTATATATTCTATTTAGGGGGAAATACCTATTTTCTCACAAAAGCTTTCTCTTGTCAGAGAAATGGAATTTCTATTTGAACAATAATATTTTATGGTTCTTCCAGTACCTTTTTGGAGTGTTAACTTTGATCCACAATGTATCCACCCAAGTTAGCAAATTTGTATCATAGTAGTTTAGGACAAGGGAAAATGGTAAAAATTCTTTCTTCTATTCTATCTAGATTGTCTTTCCTCTCAGCTTTGTTTTATCTTCACAGACCCTTATCCAAGGTTCAGACACACTGATTTTTTCCCCACATATATTTTTCTCTTAGTTTTCTTTTTAATCTAGGAGGATAGCTTAAAAGACGTGTGTGTCTATGTTTGTGTGTGTATGTGTGTGTGTGTGAGAGAGAGACAGAGAGAGAGAGAGAGAGAGAGGAGGGGAGATAGAGAAAAAGACATGAGTATAAGTATAAAATATTTTTACTTTATTTCTGAAGAGTTAATAAGTTTTTGGAACAATCCCAAGTGCCATATACATTTGAATTATGTGTTTTTTTTTTAAACACCCTATATTGGCTCTCAACATTCTTGGGTAGCCACAACTGTAGGTCCAAAATATATTGGGAAATTAAGATTCTACTATGAAATGATAAAAGTATAAAATCATTCTTTAGTGCTAAAGTCATAGACAAACTATGCTACCAGCAATAACTGTATGAAAACAATCTAGATGCAAATAACTTAATTTTGGCATCAGATTATATTATTCACCATTGTTTTGTTCTCAATTTTTAGGTATGGAGTTGTTTGAGGAGGCATTACGTCGATGGGAACAAGCTCTAACTTTTCGCAATAGACAGGTTGAAGATGAAGCAAGTTGTGGTTCTATAAAACTGGGTGCAGGAGATGCCATTGCTGAAGAAAATGTCGATGTAAGGGTGATTTGTTTTGGAGTTATATTAGAAGAATCTATTTGAGATGTTGAGATATTTGCTTTCAGTGACATCTGATAGACCATTTGCCCTATTTAGGATTAAGTGATTTAGTTCTTTTTTTGTTGTTCAGTTAGCTGTTAAACACCAAATTTGCAATTCATCATCAGCTGTCTGACATTCCTAGAATATATAGACTACGCAGAAGTAATTAACATAAGAATTTTTAGAAGTCTATTCTTTGCTTTGAAAGACCATTGTATTCATAAAAGCATACAGAGATAGTTCACTCAGCATAATGCTCTCCAGTCCTTTCCAAGTTACGTAATAATTTACAAAGTTACTGCGCATGCGTGCTGCATAGTATTCCATTATGTGAATGTACCATAATTTCTCAGTCCATCCATTTGTGGTTGGATGTTTGGACTGTTTCCATGTTCTTGCGATGGTGAATAATGCTGCTATGAACATTGGTGTACAAATCTCAGTTTGTGCCTCAGTTCTCATGTTCTCAGGTATATTCCAAGTAGTAGAATATCTGGGTCATATGGAATTTCTATGTTCAGCTTTTTTAAAAAAAAAAATTATTTTATTATTTTTTGTGCATTGTACCATCAAGTCAGATCTGACTGGTACAGGAGGAGATTGTTCTTCCTTCTCCAGCAGAGTATCTGGTGGATTTGAACCAGGAACATCTGGGATTGCAGTGCAGCTTCTTGCCACTAGGCCACCAGAGCTCCCTTTATATTCAGCTTTTTAAGGAAGTGCCATACTGCCTTCTGGTATGGTTGTACCATTTTGCAATCCCACCAACAATGTATGATTTCCTTTCTCGCCACATCCTCTCCAATATCTTTTACTTGCTGCCCTGTTAAGCTTTGCCACTCTTACTGGAGTGAGAGGGTTATTGTAGAATGAGTATAAGGATCCAGGAGGGGTGGGAGAGGCTGGAAATAGAGGGATGTGGATTTACAGGGGAAAGAGGGGATTAATCATTGGTTTGTACAATTTGATGGGTGAGGGGTGAGGGAAACGGAAAGAATTTGTTCTAATTTATATTAGAATTTTGTAAATAAACTAATGAAAAGGGGGGGGGGAAAGCATCCAGAGAAAGAACTGGCAAATTCCATAATCATCTAGGCCAGTAGTTCTCAAAACTGAGTATGCATCAAAATCAACTGGTAGACTTGTAAAAACACAGACTGGAAGGACTTATCCCTAGGCTTGCTGTTTCATTATGCCCAAGATTGGAACAAGAGTTTCCAAGTGATGTTCATGTTATTTCAAAAACCACACTCTGAGAATTCTTAAATTTGACAGGTAAACTGAACTCCCAAGAACTAAGATTATTTTACTAAAGATGTAGGTGGAACCTAGGCCTTGTGACAATTACTGCAGTGTTCTTTCTACTGCTTTATCACTTGTTTTTACGTCCCCACTTTCCCTGCCTTTAAATTAAAAATAGAAAATGTTGGGAATCTTAACATTAGAATCTACTGTTTGCTCTTTGACTTTTTGTCTTCTTGCAGGATATTATTAGTACTGAATTTATCCATAAACTAGAGGCTCTGCTACAAAGAGCATATCGTCTTCAAGAGGAATTTGAGGCCACCCTTGGGACGTCTGATCCTAATTCACTGGCAAATGATACTGGTAGGATGGATGTTTTAAATGGTTTTTATGAAATGTATGCATTTAACATATTTAATCTTTTTTATTTTGGGGGAATTATTTACTTAAGTGTCTTAGGTTTTAGTGTTTCATGTGTTTAGCAAAGAACTAAGGGGGAAAAATATGTTATTTACTTTCAGTTTTTATTTTCAAGTGAGTTCAGTGCTCTTGAGATACTAATTTTAAGTATTTAGGGTAGGTAGGATTGTGACATGCTTCTTATCTTACATAAGTCCTTTTCAGTCAGGGCAAAGATAACGCTATATATTTTTTACCCCCATTAGTACATTTATTCCTCATTTATTAACTATCCTATTACCTGAAATTTTGTATGTATGACAATAGTAAAAATAGCTATTGGATTGTTTTGCACGTTAATGGCATGTCTGGCAGTTAAGGAATGCTAAGCTAAGAGGCAAGAGTAAAACTGGTTGTTGTAATTGTTAAGATTATGCATAATCTTGATTGGACCATTATTCTCATCAGTTTACCACATGAAGAGATACTATATTAAAGTTTATAAGTTTACTTTAACAAGTGCATTCTGCACGAAGCTACTTCAGTACAAAAATTGGAGGAAGGGGGAAAATTAACAATAATATTAGAGTCATGCCATCTCAGAAATGTACGTGTAACTTATGACATGTGTTTAAACTGTTTTAAAAATTCTTTTCAACCTTAATTACAAGTTAGCTTTTAATGTTGTTGTTGTTATGTGCCACTGAGTTGCCTGCGACATAGCAACTCTATGTACAACGGCCCTAAACCCTGCTCTATCCTGTGCCAATCTTACTGTCTCTGATACACCTATCTCCATTACCCCAGTCACTGAATCAATGCATCTCATCAAGGGTCTTCCTTTCTTGCACTGTCCCTCCACTCTCCCAAGCATGATGTCCCTCTCCAAGGACTGATCTCACCTTGCAACATGTCCAGAGTATGTAAGACGAAACTTCACAATCCTTGCCTCCAAGGAGCAGCCAGGCTTCACCCTCTCCAGAACAAACTTGTTTGTTCTCCTAGAAGTCCATGGTATATTCAGTACTCTTCTCCAGCATCACAGCTCAAAGGCATCAGTTCTCCTTCTATCATCCCTAGTCATTGCCCAGCTTTCTGATGCATGGCAAGTAATTGCAAAGAACTTGGCCTGGATCAGGTGCACTTTAGTCTCCAGACGGATATCAATGCTCTTCAGTACTTTGGAGAAGTCTCTGGCAGCAGACTTATCCAGTGCAATTTAATTGTCTTTAATTTCCTAGCTGCTGGTACCAAAAGTGTTGATTGTAGAGCCAAGGAGACAGAAGCTGTTAACAATCTCAATCTCTTCACCATTTATTATGAGACTGCCAATTGGCCCACTGGTGAGAATCCTTGTTTTATTGATGTTGAGCTTCAATCCATACTGAAGGCTGCAATCCTTGACATTTTGCAGCAAGCACTTCAGGTCCAATTCTGTTTCAGCAAACAGAGTTGTGTCATCTGCATAACATAGGTTGTTTTTGATTCTACCTCCCATCCTGTTGCCACATTTCTCCTCATAGAGCCCAGCCTTTCAGATAATCTGTTCCGCACATGTTGTGCCATCCAGTCGCTTGCGACTCATAGCGACCCTATGTGCAACAGCCCTAAACCCTACTCTATCCTGTACCAATCGCACTGCCTCTGACACACCATCCCGATTACCCCAGTCTCTGAATCAATCCACCTCATACAGGGTCTTATCCTCTTGCACTATCACTCCACCCTCCCAAGCATGATGTCCCTCTCCAACAACCTGTCCCTCATTACAACATGTCCAGACTATGTCAGATGAAGCCCCAGAATCCTTGCCTCCAAGGAGCAGCCTGGTTTAACCCACTCCAGGATGAATCTGTTTGTTTTCTTGGCAGTCCATGGTACATTCAGTACTCTTCTCCAGCACCACAGCTCAGAGGCATCAGTTCTTCTATCCTCCCTAGTCATTGTCCAACTCTCTGATGCATACCAAGTGATTACAAAGACCATAGCCTGTATCAGACACACCTTAATTTCCACAGTGACACCATTACTCTTCAGTGCCCTCGAGAGGTCCCTAACAGCAGACTTTCCCATCGCAGTACGTTGTTTGTTTGTTTTTTTTTATTTTCTGGCTGCTGGTGCCAAGAGTGTTGACTGTGGAGCCAAGCAGACTAAAGTTGTTAAGAATCTCAGTCTCTTCACCATCCATCCTGATGCTGCCAATTGTCCAGTGGTAAGAGTCTTTGTCTTCTTGACATTGAGCCTCAATCCATATTGTAGGCTGCAGTCCTTGACCCTCTGCAGCAAGTGCATGAGGTCCTCCTCAGTTTCAGCGAGCAGGGTTGTGTCATCTGCATAACGCAGATTGTTGATAGATCTTCCACCAATCCTAACTCCACACTTCTCCTCATAGAGCCCAGCCTCTCGGATAATCTGTTCTGCATATAGGTTGAAAAGGTATGGAGCTAGGACACATCTCTGGCGTATACCTTTCCCAATTTTGAACCATGCATTGTTTCCCTGCTCTGTTCTGATGACTGACTCTTGGTCCAAGTATAGGTTTCTTGTTAGCACGATCAAGTGTTCTGGGATTCCCATTCTTCTCAGAGTCAGCCACAGTTTGTTATGATCCATGCACAGATTGAAAAAATATGGAGATAGGACACATCCGTGGCATACCCCCTTCCCAATATTGAACCATGCAGTGTTTCCTTGTTGTGTTGTGATGACTGCCACCTGGTCCAAGAATAGGTATACACACAATCTAGTGTTCTGGGATTCCCATTCTTCTCAGAGTCATCCACAGTTTGTTGTGATCTACACAGTCAAATACCTTTGCATGGTCAGTGAAACACAGATAGACATTCCTCTGGTACTCTCTGCTTTCAGCCAAAATCCATTTGACGTTAGCTATAATATCCCTAGTACTACATTCTCTTATAAACCCAGCCTACACTTCAGGCAGTTCTCTCTTGATGTACTGTTCTAGTCTTTTTTGGAGAATCTTCAGCAGAATCTTGCTTACATGTGATATATTGTTCAATAATTTCTGCACTCTGTTGGGTCACCTTTCTTTGGAATAGGAACAAGCATAGATCTGTTCAGTTGGCCAGGTGGTTGTCCTCCAGATTTTTTTTTCAAGAGTAACATGTCAGTTTTATTTAGAACTTTTCAAGTACAAAAAAAAAGGACATGAAATGCTTGTTAAGTGTACGTATATACTGTTAAAAAATTGCTACAAACGATTAAATTGTCTTGAGAATATTACTAATGCACTTTGAATTCAAATATCCCATGAGTTACCTGGATTCTTAACATGTTTTATATTTAACTGTTCTAGTCTTTTACTATAAAAAATTATTTTTTTAATAAGATGGTTCAACATTATCATTTTTTTTCCTCTAGAAAAGAATTTTAAGCAAGTATGAAATACATCCTAATTAAAATCATGTGATATGCTCATTTTCAAAAGGTATTTATAACAGAGCAACATTTCTGCACTTGGATGTGTTCATCTTTAAACATACTTTGTTTCAGTCACATCAACCACTATAATCCATACCAGTCCAGAAGGTCATCATGTTCAACAGTTTGATAGAAAGGCTTAAATATTACCAACTAGGTCATCATATAAAAATTTAAGCATTTTTATAAAACTATTCAAAGCTTATAGAGTTTCAGGCATATATTTTAAAATATATCCCTAAAATTTTAACTTGCATACATTTTTTAAAAAGGATTCATCTTAGAATATAAGTAGACCATATAGCTTATAATATGAAATTATGGATTTTAAATGGCACTAACACTTCTTTCTTTGGTATAATGCACTGAGAATTTAACAGTTAGTTGGCAAAAGGGAGAACAATTTTAAGGAACTTAAAAATTTGTAACAGGGAACTCTGGTGGTCTAGTGGCAAGAAGCTGTACTGCAGTCCCAGAGGAGCACAGTTTGAATCCACCAGATGCTCTGCTGGAGAAGGAGAGGCAATCTCCTCCTGTACCAGTCAGATTCGATTTGACAGTACACACACAAAAAAATAATAAAATACAATTTTAAAAAAATTGTAACAGTCATTATCCTAGTAATATTGTCCACTTGGGCATATGTACTGATCTTATATTTTAAAATAATTTTCCATAAATTGTAGTTATTGTGTCCATTCATGAGATAGAGAAAAAGTAAATAATACAGCAAATAAAAACAGTAAAGAAAATCAAGGCACGCACCCAATTTTTTAATAACTTCCACTTGTAACAATCTTCTTATATGATGTTCTAGAATGACTGTTTTATATGTAACTAAAGTTCTTCCAATCCTTTTCCCTTTTGCTACCAGTAGGACCAGAAAAAAGTTGGTTATGGAATATTTCAGAGGATGCTTTCTTTTTAGAAAAAGCAACTGTTTCTTCTTCTAAAAGTCTGCTCTTTTCTTCAAGCTTCATTCTGTCTTCTTGATGAACTCTTTTAAGATGTTGAAATTTGGCCCGCAGCTCTCTTTCCACATCTTTCAGTATGCCTTCTTTTTCCTTTACTCATTGCACAAACATCTTCCTTCTGGCATTCTTTGTAGAATTCATGTCTTTTGGCTTCGTAAGACTCTTGAAGACTGACTGGGTTGTCCTCTGGCCCATGTCTTTAAAGCCCAGTTCCTCCAGTTTGCAGCGCCTATAACGTTCATAGTGTCTAGTGTGAGTTTGTTCTCTAAGATCTTCCATATTAGTACAAATGAGCATTTTTCAGAACTTGACAAAGTCACAGTGATTCTCATTTTCCAAATGTACAGCACTCCATGGATACTGATGAGCTTTGGCCAGCTTATTTCCAACTTCCACCTCATTCATACTTACTATAACAGCACATGGTAAATGTGCATTCATTAAAAAATCTAGTTTACCAAGTCTCATCATTTGTTGGGAGCTGATATATATGGACACCATTGCTAACCAAGTCACTCATGAGCTTGATCTTGAACTTCTGTAATT